GTATCCTAAATGTAACGGACATGCAATAACACTATCTTTTACCCACCACCTACTAGCATAACTTGCATTTTCTACTGAATCTTCCAAGCTTGACCTCCTCTCAACTACCCCGAAGCTCTGGCTGCTAGAACCCCCGCCGCTAGTTCGGCCGAGGCAATGCGAACTCCCTGCACTCGGTGCTGGTGCACTCGTAAGGCACCCAGCGAGCGGAGAGAGACGAAATGAAGACAGAGAGGAACCGCTGGTCCCCGACCGCGGGAGGGGGAGAGGGCGCCCTGGCCAGGCCGGGCTGAGCCCCAGCCTTGGCGGGAAAGATATTGAAACAAACGAACAAACCCGAATGTGGTCTGAGTAAATGTAACACTTCTGGTGTCAGTGTGTATACTATGTTGTACAATCAGATTCATGAAAGCCAGTTTTCAGGTAAGAGTTTCTATTGTAATTAATATTATAAATCAATAAGTTATGGGGGGAGGGAAATGAAGGCGTTTGGAGAATCCTCCTTTAGCAGGTGAATTGGAATGGATTTCGATTCTTATTTCTGCGGGACCAGAAGCTGTGGGGTCTAAGCATCGCGGGGAGAAATGCAACAGAGAGTGACGCTGAGACAGACCTCAGCCACCGAGTTGCTCTCCGCTGGTCTCCTGCAGGGCAGCTGCCGCTCTTGGCGCGTTCGAGACGAAACTGCTGTTCACGAAGGATATCTCGATTTATTTAAGAAGGAAGACAGGGGAGCGTTTGGTGCCGTTATTTTCCTGGTCAGGGAAATGGGCCAGGAAACGGTATGATAAATAAAGCCGCTTTAGGGGGCAGTGGGAACACCATGGAGGATCTTGGGAAACAGTTACGTTTCTTGGCTCTGACCCGGGGGTCGAGAAGGGTAGGAGGAACCGCGAAAGCAATTAGTTTGCACAAAAGAGAATAGCAGCGGCTTACAGAGCAAAGCCCAGGATTCCAAAAGTAAAGTTCGAGAAACACAACCAAAGAGACAATAAAAGGCGACTTTCTACCTGCAACTCGTTTGTGTATCAATCGGATGAAATCATTAAGGAGCCCCCAAATAATGTGAATTCTCACGATCTGTTCCATTGGGATTTTAAAGAGAAAAAAAAATTACTTGCATCGCGACGAGATTTTGTCCCCTAACTCAGCAGTGCAAGAAAAACCTGCCTCATCACCCAGCAGTTTTGCTCTTCGGGCTTACGGGAGCGTTTCCTGGCGCTCGCGACCTGGTCACCTTTGCACGCTGCTGTCCTTGTGCGTGGGAAAGAAACTTGGCTCGCCGCTGCTGCTCCTTCCCTCTTTTTGAGCCCCAGTAAAATAGCACTTTACTTGTAACAAACTTTTGGGAACGAAGGGGGGCGGGTAGGGAGGAGGCAGCAGCTCTTTGCCTCTCAGTCACCTCTGGTTTGTGTCCGCGCCGCGTTCGGGTTGTGACTTTGTGACAAGTTCATGTCTGCCTGTGTTGTACGCGGTGTTCTCCATTAAAGCTTCTCTCTGGATGTGCCCGTGTCAGTGTGATGGTGTTTCGCTTCTCCAGAAACCAGGCCGCGGTTGGAGTGCCTCCTGCGCAGACAGAGGAACTTGGCAAACCCTCTCCTCCCCCGTTAATTCTTAACATCAGAGCTGCAGAGGGGTGAGTTCACAGGCCGGCCACCAGCAGGGACACCCTTGCTCCACTACTCCTTATCAGTGGCGCATTTATCTCCTCCGCTACCGGTTCTCGCTTACCATGCCGGTTTCCCAACTAGGCTCAAGTCCTCCTCGGGGCCAGAACTGAGTTAGCCACACACACACACACACACACACACACACACACACACACACACACGATAACAGTGATTTTGTTGTTCCTACACGAGGTTCACATCAATACACCATCACCACCACCCAAAACCCTTTTCCCTTTTTGAGGTCCTTGAGGGCAAGCCCATTTGGTGGGTACCCAGCGGCGCCCCCTTAAATCTGCGGGACTGTCCGGGGATCGGGAGGTCGGCGCTGGGACGCTGCCCCTGCAGTGGCGGCCGACTTTTAACGAGGGTCCTGGGCCCGCCACCGAGGCCTGGGACCTGTTGCGCGCAGGCGCCGGCTGCGCCCTGGCCCAGCTGGGCTGTGGCCGCGGCGGCTGGAGGCCCAGGGCGGCAGATCCGGGGCCCGGGTAAGCCCACGGCTCCCCACCGGGCCCTGCAGGCTGCAGCTACTGTGGAGAGGAGACTAGAGGGCAACATGAGCTTAGAAATAATTCCACTCAAGACCCCGCTGGGGCCAGGGAGTCGCCGCCAGGCCTCTGCCCTTCATCCACGAACAGGGCTCCAACCTGAACCAGCTTCCCTCGGCCCAGCCAGCCCCATGGAAGCCTCTTCTAACCTTTCCTCAGAAGAAAGCAAAGGGCCAACGAGACTTGTGCACGGTAATGACACTGGGAGGGTGAGGGGAGGGTTTCCACGCATCCCTGATTTACTACCACCCTTGCAGCGAGACTAGGTTCTGGCCAGGCCTGAGAAACGCGTCTTGGTGCAGACCACGGCCTCCTTGGGCTCGGACAATTCCAGTGCCTCCATTCTGTCAGTTTGAGACTCTGCTAGGTTTTCCTCTACACTAATTTGATATTATTGAAAGACAAAAACAAAAAGGGGAGATGCTGACATGGGGGTCACAGACTTGGGGAGACTTGGGGAATCTGGCTTCTTTGTCTGTCTCTGGGTGAGTTGGTGCCTGGAAGCCCCGGGCAGGGACCCATAGTTTAGAGGCTGAGAGTCCTGAATTCCAGGAGTTTCTTCCAAAGAGCACCCTTCCTTCCCCCGCACCTGCCTGCAAGGGCCAGTGAACTTTATAGCGATGCCCATGGTTCCACGGGAAAGGGGTGAGGCCCCACGTGATGTTTGGGGGTAACTGGAGGTGGGGGTCTGGCCTAAGTGACCGCCAGGGAGGGAGCCTGTGGGCCGCGCCTCAGAGAAGGATGAATAATTGACCCTGGCTGTTTCCCTGAACCCTCTTAGCACCCAGCCCCACACCCGCACACCCCCGTGGCACCCCTTCTACCTCTGTGAGGAAAACATGGTTGTTTTGCTTTTACTGTAAGGGAGGAGAGAAAGGAGACTAGAGGGCAACATGAGCTTAGAAATAATTCCACTCAAGTTTTCTTCCAGGGGGAGACCCCGGTACTCAAAGGAAGCTAAGCATGGCATTCTAAGCATGGCATTCAGACTGGAGAGCACGGGATTCATGTAAATAAACACGGGGTAGGGGGAGGCTTTCTGTTAAAGCTCTGATCCCAAGAGAGGTCTCAGTTAAAGCCTTGAAGACCCCTCCCCCCAACTAAGATGGGGTCTGCAGTCTAACTGTAAGAGTATCATTCCCACAAGCACCCATGGCCAAGCTGGGAGTTGGCAGGATTAGTCTGGACAAACCTCTGAGATGCCAGGTCCCGGCTCACTACTTCACCAGAATCAGATCTTCATATCCACGTGCCAAAAAACACTCACTCACAGACCCTGAGCCAGATTCAGCACATATTGTAAATGTTTAAAGAGGGATCGAACCATTAAACATGTATAGTTCTGGTAATAATCTAAGTATGTAGAGAACCGCTAAAGCTAATAAGAATAAACTGATGGTGATATTTTGGTAACCCTCTCAACTGAGAATGTGATCACATAGGATCTCACAGGTACTCTCTCTCTAGCTACAGGTGGAGGTAGAGGGAAATTAAGTTCTAGACCTAAGGGAGATGGAAGTAAAGACACTTATGTATGTATGACCATCTCAGTTCACAAGCTTAATAAAATCACTCAGGGTATGCTAAGTACTGGTGGCGATACCATGGCATTACGCTGCTGGTTTCCAGGATGATAGAAAAAACTATTTACTAGTTGCTTAGCCTGGATCCCACTTCACTGAAGGCACAGAACCCCAAGAAAACGGGGAGGAGCCAGGAGAAGGGAGAAGGGTTTTAGTGTAGATGTCCTTAAAAGAAAAGTAGAAGAAAAAGAACTTGGAATAATCTATTTGATTATATTTCCTTGGGAAGCTGAGACAAGAGCTAAAGGCAGAGGGAGGGCGGAGCTATTTTAGCTGTGGTCCCTAGGAGAACAGGCCCTCCTGCAAAGGCCAGGGCCTGCACAGTTGGCATCTGGCACTTAGGAAGCCTGTCAGTCAGGCTGGCTTGTGGTCAATTATCTCCTTAAGTAGACTGGCATCAGTCCAGCCAGGGAGGAGGGCTGTTTGCATCCATAGGAATCAGAGCCA